GGTGGCACAATCTCATCAGGCAACATCAGGCAACAAAAACAAACAAAAACAATCTGTTTTTGTTGCCTGATGAACGCCAACCCAGGGAGGTGTTCTGGGCTTGTCCCACCGGGAAGTGACCCAATCCCAATTCTACCAGTTAGCCCTTCCCCTTTGATACCCCTTCAAACAGAGACTTCAGGACCACACTCGAAACCAAGGAGTGAGAAAATTTTCCAGAATACACCAGCCACAACAGCTGCAGAAAAGTCTAGTGGCTGGAAATGAGCTTTTTACAGTGTCTGATATAATGTTAATGTTGTTTTTGTGTTTAAATAGCTGAATATGGCCACTATGTAAATGCACAGTACAGTTACAATCTTATTGCCACATCATTATGATAACATAATATATGCCTTCAGTGATTTCCTGAAAATAAATAGCAAAAAATATATAACACAACTGGAATAAATACAATAGTCGCAATCGTTGGTCTCACATGAAGCAAGAGATCCATGACATATGATCACGTGTGCAGGTGCTGTAGTGGTTTCCCATTTCTTAGGGATAAATTTGGAAGCCCGTTTCACATTGTTTTAAGGGGAAAGGGTACAAAAATAGAATTGGGATTGGGCCTAAAGGGACTATGTCTCTTGGCTTGTTTTGGAATGCCTCAGGATCCCCCCAGTACTGGAGGAAGTGTATGGGCATAGGGAAGTCTGGGGTTCTCTAATGAGACGATGCAGACGATGATGATGATTTGATTAGATGTACAGACTTTTGACACCCAAAAAGAGCAAAATTCTGTGACATTCAATGTTATGTAGTGTGGATTTGTAATTCCATACATGTATTCAGCTCCATACAATTATTCAGTTCGAGTAAAAAAATTGAAATGATAGTCCACCTCAATATTATACATCTGTCCCCATTTACTCTTATGCGTTTCATTCTTCTATTAAACAATAAGTTATTTTGAAAAAGGTTGGAAAACTGAAACCACAGATTTCCTTAGTATTTGTTTTTCTTACTGTAGATATCAATGATTAAAGATTGTCAGCTTTCTTTAAAATATATTTTACATTTAACAAAATTAAGAAACTCATAAAGGTTTAGAACCACCTGATGTGAGTGAATTGTGAGTAAATTTTTATTTTTGAATAAACCATCCCTTTAAGTGATAGTGTTATGATCACCTGCTAAAAGTTGCTTGTATAGCATTCCTTAAATGCTTTCCTTTTTGCCCCTCACAGAATGAACTTGCTCAAAATAGGAACTGCAACACCCTGCATATCACTGAAGACAACACAAATACAGATAATTCAATGGAGCGAAGAAAGTCAGTAGTTAATGAACTCTACTCAAGCGTTAAAATGTCTACAAAGTCTAAAATTACAGAAGAAAGCACTGAAGAAAGCACTGAAGAAAGCACTGATGAAATCACTGAAGAAAGCACTGATGAAATCACGGGAGAAATCACTGAAGAAAGCACTAAAGAAATCACTGATGAAATCACTGAAAAAAGCACTAGAGAAATCACTGATGAAATCACCGAAAAAAGCACTGAAGAAAACTTTGAAAAAAGCCAGGAGTTGGACTATAATGATGAGACCTCGATCTCTGCTCCGACAACTTCTGATGTTAATGTAACCAAAGTTTAACAGTCACATAGTTGATTATTTGTTTCTTTTAATAATGTGTTCTGTTTTAGGCTCAGCAGTGCTCAATAATATTTGACAAAACTTTAAATAACATTTTAATTTGAAAAAAAAAAATGGACAAAACTGAAGGTCAGAGGTGTGAGTGAATAAATATTTAATAAGCTGCAGGGAACATACAGTATGTACGTGACCATGAGAAGCATAATTGAACAACACAGTGGTTTTAGAAACCAGATGTAAAACAACGTGGCCTAATTTTTCAGTTTGCAAAAGGTTCTAAATGGCAAGTCAATAAAAAAGAAAAATAGGCCACCGCAACTTTAAAGGGAGCGATGTAACCCCCCTTTTTTTGGTTCAAGTCTACCTCAGAATTTCTTTAAAAAATGCTTCGAAATGGGCGTTGAGCACTGCGAGCAGAGGGGAGATTGGGCGTGGCTGGCAGAGCAGGGGAGAAAGAGAGGGAACAACTGTCAGTTGGCTGACAAAAGAGACAAACCATGAGGAGACCCATGATTTTATAGTTTACAAAGTTAAAATGCAAATAAATAAGCAGTAATATTTTCATGCCCTGCTACACGTTAATCAGAATTGCATACACACGACCACAATTTGTCATGCAGACGCAGTCTCACCCATTAATTCTCACAGTTTGGCAGTCTGTCTTGCTTTTAGAAAGCATGTGCTCTCATGAATAAGAAAACTCAGCTATGAATAATAATGACAAACTGATGCATCATCACACCACTAGCATATCTGCGCTACGTCACCAATTTTGATCCCGCCCCAATAAATAATTAGCTGACCAAACCTCAAAATTATACAGTTTTCCCCACAATTAACATGACAGGTGCTAACATTGTCTTAAATGATGCTCAACACACACAAATCTGTTATAATTTCAAAAAAGTACTCCAGCATGTCTTGAGTAACACTTAAAGTCACAGTTCACCCAGAACAATTCATTTCTTCAAGTTTTAGTTACTGTATGTATTACTGTATGTCTGTTTTTTTACCCAACATTCTTTAGAACATCTTATTTTGTGTACAACAAAGACAGAAAATCATTAAAGTATAGAACCATTTGTGAGACTAAATGGTAAGGAAACAGATTTCTGGGTGAACTGTCCCTTTTGGAATGATTTTGTAATGCACAGACACATGAATTATCTAGTTACTTTCATTCCAGCTAAGTATATCTGGGTCTAACGTGGACCTATTTTACCTGCTCTGTAAATTTCAACATTGTTTTCTAAAGTGACTAAATTATAATACAAGCATGAATGCAGTAACTCTGGCTTTAGTCTCTCACAATATTTTTCTGTAATAATTAAGGCAAATCGACAAGAGGCCTCATAGTAAGTTAGCGGAGTCTGATTACAGGCAATCATTAAAAAAAAAAGAAAGTAATAAGATTTAACTTGACCATATCTATTATTAAAAACGACAAACCTAACTTAAAAGCTTTGTTAATAAATCAATCTTTTTTGATAAATTGATGGGGCTTTTTTTTTTGCCCAAATTCTCTCTCTTTCTCTCTCTCTTTCTCTCTCTCTCTCTCTCTATAGTGGCGAACCTGCCAGTGTGGTGTCAGCATCACCATAGAGATGGCTGCCTTATAAGGCCTTCTCCTCTCCAACGCAGACCTTTAACCCCACTAAGCACAGATCCCAGACTTTATCTTTGCTCTACATCTCTAACAAATCGCCCTACGGGGATTTACACTGTCTCTGAGTTTGTGTGATCTTTTACCTGTGACTTATGTTCTGGATAAGCTGTTTTAAAGTTTTCTGTTTGACATTTTTTATGTTTATGCCAAAGAATAAACTGATTGCTTTCATGAAATATTTGTACTGTAGGTTTGTTGCATCCTTCATAAATCACAACATTGAGAGAATAAAAATGACAAAATGTAATAAAACAGTTAGGAATAACACAATGAGGATTGTTCCTTTAAAAGGTAACAAAAGCAGCTCTCGTTCAGCATTTTAAATATTAGCTGTTAACTTTCAGCTTTTCAGACGGATTGTGTTGTTCTGGAATTATTTGTGTACTGAAATTCTCAGGTAACATGTCATTATAAAAGCCTTATGTCTGTACTATCCTTAAAGAGGTAGTTTATACACACACAAAAACCTCTCAAATAACTCACCCTTAAAAGTTCCCAAACCTTTATGAGTTTCTTTTTTTCTGCCAAATACAAAATAATATACATTCACGGGCCACTTTATTAGGTTCAACTGCTCGTTAACCCAAATGTATAATCAGCCAATCACATGGCAGCAACTCAATGCATTTAGGCATGTAGACATGGTCAAGATGATCTGCTGCAGTCCAAACCAAGCATCAGAATATGGAAGAAAGGTGATTTAAGTGACTTTGAAAGTGGCATGGTTGTTGGTGCCAGACAAGCTAGTATTTCAGAACCTGCTGATCTACTGGGATTTTCATGCATTCATTTTGGTCTTATGAATCACGATTTCTGCTGCGACATTCGGATGGTAGGGTCAGAATTTAGCGTCAACACATGAAAGCATGGAACCATCCTGCCTTGTATTAATGGTTCAGGCTGATGGTAGTGGTGTAATAGTGTGGGGGATATTTTCTTGGCACACTTCAGGCCCATTAGTACCAATTGAGCATTTTGTCAACACCACAGCCTACTGAGTATTTTGACCATGTCCATCCCTTTGTGACCACAGTGTACCAATCTTCTGATGGCTACTTCCAGCAGGATAACGCACCATCTCATAAAGTGTGAATCATTTCAGACTTGTTTCTTGAACATAACAATGAGTTCTTTGTACTCAAATGGCCACCACCGTCACCAGATCTCAATCCAATAGAGCACCTTTGGGATGTGGTGAAACGGGAGATTCACATCATGGATGTGCAGCCTACAAATCTGCAGTAATTGCATGATGCTATCATGTCAATATGCACCAAAATCTCGGAGGAATTTCCAGTGCCTTGTTTAATCTATGCCACGAAGGATTAAGGCAGTTCTGAAGGCAAAAGGGGGTCCAACCCGGTACTAGTAAGGTGTACCTAATAAAGCGGCCAGTGAGTGTATTTCAAAGATGTTGCAAACCTGTAACTATTGACATTCATCATAATAAAAACAACTAAAATGAAAGAATGGATTTTTTTCTTTTAAAGCATTACCAAATGGAGAATAGCAATCATTCTATATGATTTTTGAATGCTTTATTTTTTATAATTGCAATAATAATGCTAAAAGTAGGAATTCTCTTGCAGTAAAAAAAAAAAAAAAAACTACTGAAGGTTCAAATAAAGCCTTAGTTTGTTTTTAACAGCTGATATATCCCTTGACAAATAAATTGGCATTGATAATATGACATATTACTGCTGGTTAGAAACTGAGTTAATCATTAAACCAGGTCTTCTCTTTCTTGGGGATTGTCGGTTTCGGAAAGCCACATCAGATGGATAATGGACATTTTTGGAAATTCGTTTTGAATAAACACAATACCAAATAATAACCATAACAATAACCAATAAAAGAAGACATGTTCTAGCAATGGAAAGAAGAACCAAAATCATCATCTCTTCTGTGGAATCAGCATCTGAAATGGCCAAAATTGTATTGTAAAATTTGTAAAAAAAATAAATAAAAAAATAAACTGTAAACTTTTCTCAATTAATTCTTGAAAAACGCACCTATGTCCAGTTTAGAGCCATTCCTGTCCAGTTTTTCTCCACATGCGGTAACTGTACAGCTGTAAGTTGCACTGTTAGAAAGTCTGAAGTCCTTCCTGGAGAAGCTGTAGACGCATCTGAGTGCTCTAAAATCAGCGTCAGAGATCCATTCACACTGATCAACAGGAGTTCCATGAGTGCTAATGATTCTTGGAGGAGAGTCTTGCGATTCAATTATGAGCCAATACATGCTGTGATTTCCAACACATTTCTGGTTCAAAACAGTGCATGTAAGACTCACTGAATCTCCAGAATGGGATGGAATTAAATCATGCTGTTTTACTACAGTGTGCTTTTCCAAACCTGTATGAAAATATGACACCATTATGAATAATGCATTTCAACCATATCAAAATATGTTAGTTTTAAGTAATAACTGATGTACTATATAGGCTATACATGGCATTCATTTGAAATTGTACACTGACAAAAATAAAGTAGAAACAATTTTCACTCAAAAAATTGCTAGTTATATAATAAATAATCATAAAAAATGCAAAATAACAATAAATAAAAAATGAAATTCTAAAGTTGAATTTGACTATTGAATATTTTCTTGTAAAAATACTCTAGTAATCAGCAAACTTCACCTTTTTTACAGTGCATTTGTTTTTTTTATGCACTGTATATAAAAAAATAAAAATTAAATAAAAGATTTACTGTTTTCATAGCTTCTATAATTGCATGTTACACATTGTACACTGACCAATAAATAAATACATTGAAATAGTATTTTGAGTGAATAGTTTTAACTCAAAAATCGCTAGTAAATATCACAAATAATTATAAAAATGCAACAAAAAAAAAAGATTGTATGAAAATTTAAGTTTTAATGTTTTCATAAATACTCTAGATCAGGGGTTCCCAAACTTTTCAGCACGCGACCCCTAAAATAACAATACCAGTGACTCGCGACCCCCAATATCCCCTGAGGTGGTTATAAATACAGAAAACTTGCATGCAATGGCGCACACACACACCAATAGACCAACGTTTATTCTTCGTTTAATTTTTTAAATGTATTTCAGTGCTGTAAATGGGCCAGAAAGTTTAACCTGGTGTTATAAAAATCAATCTGCTGCATCTGACGCTATTGCTGTGTCTTTAATATAATGTATTTACCCCAGGGGTCGCAATCCAATAGAACAAGTAAATAAGCTACTATAGTAACTATAAACGACTGTTTTCTTCTCTTCAGCTGGTTATGGATAAAATATGGTAATTCTTATGTTCTAATAATAATAAGTAGATTTTTGAAAATCACCAGGCGACCCCCCTTCATTGTTCCGCGACCCCTCAAGGGGTCCCGACCCCCACTTTGAGAACCACTGCTCTAGATCACTCTGTAAAAAGTGAATTAAAAGTTGATTACTGGGTAATCAGTTCGGTTTCACCACATGTTCTTAGGGAAAACCGTAGTTTGTTGGTTGTAAGCTCTCTGTAAAGTCATGTGTAGTCGCACTGAAAAGCATTTAAATAGTTAAACTGCTTTAAAATTCTGCAACTTATTAATCCATATATAACTGTCCCATGAAAATCAAACGACAAATTATGTTTTTATAGTAAATAGAATTACAGTCAGTCACTAATAACAGACAACGTACCTACATTGCGAGCCGTGGATGTACGCGAAATACACATTAAATAATCAAAACGTACTTACTTTTTTATATTCTACATATGATAGAGAAAACAGCAAGAAAAACTCATGAAGTCATGAAGAAATTCTCGTTTTAATTCAAATTACAAAAAACATTCTTTGATAGTGTCACATAACCAGCGATCAATCTCCAGAGATCGCTGGTTCTCACACGAACAGGACAACACTTCCGCATTCCCCTGGACTACATATTCATACATGCTCCCCGGTCATACTCACACATGCTCACTCATCAAGACTGATTGCATTCTCACCAGCTGAGCCTTGTCAGAGACTGATTACTCACCCTACATAAACCACTCATTCACCCATCCTGTTTGCCGAGTCTTGTTAGCTGTTTCAGTAGCATTACAAAGCGTTTCCCCATGTCTTGTTTTCTCCGTGTTTAGACCCGAGCCTTGTATAGCCTTTGTTCTCCTGTTTAGCCACCTGCCTTTAGACCTATTGCCTGTTTATACGACTACGATTCTGGACAGCCTGAAAAAACCCGTTTGCACCTGTTTGATCATTGCTTGCCTAACGCTGAATAAACCTGCATTGTGGATCTTACCTCCTATCGTCTCTGTCACTCCCCCCGTCGTTACAGATAGAATATTAAACTCTTTTCCCAAACCGAAACAAATGCGAGATTTGGGAGGAAAATAAGACTGTGAGTAGAGGGAGATGATTCATTAATATGATTGGGAGCTCCTCTATGTAAACTAATCTTGCGGTCATAGCTTTTTTACCACTATACATGGAGGGAGGCTGCTGTAAATATTTAGGTGGAGCATAGCGTTACGTTTAAACTAAGTTCGGTGATACAACACAAAAATATTTAGTATGTGTAAATTGTAACTTAGTGCCCATTAAGTCACAACTAGGCTACGTTTTAACTTATGCACTGCTAGTGCAACTGGCCCCTGTGCACTAGGTTTTCTAAAATTGGGTATATGCAAAAGGACTTTTAATTTTTCAGTAACCTGGATCAAACGTTTCCAGTGAACTGTATGCAGTTACAAAGTCGGTGCGTTTAAGGTCTTTACTGACTGATTGAATGTTACACAAAGTACAATGACCAACAATAAATAAAAATATTAACAATTTTCATTAAAAAATGCCAAAAATATCACAAATAATTATAAATAAAAGCAAAATAACGCTAAATTAAAATGAATACAATTCTGAAGATGAATTCTTGATTTTTGAATACTCCAGTAATCTGCTTTTACTTTACATTTTTTACAGTCCACTTGGTGTTTTTCAATTTGCTGTTTTAAAAAATATATATAATAAAATATTTACTGTATATAATAGTTTCACAATTCCATGAAACAATTTTCACTCAAAAATTGCTGGTAAGCATCAAAATAATTCTAAAGAAATGCAAAATATCATTGCATTAAAAGTAAGAAGCTTTGACTATGTTGTCTTAAAAATACTGAAGTAATTTGCTTTTATTTCACATTTTTACATTGCACCTAGTTTTTAAAAACTGACATTTAGATAATAGCTTCTATAACTCAATACAAAAATGAGCCCTAGTAAATCCAAATGATCTCAAAATGATAGTTACCTTGAACTATCAGCCTTGTCCCTTTGACAACTTCCATTACATTGGAATAAGCGCCTCCACAGTAGTACGTGGCAGAGTCTGAGAACTGTACGTTTCTAATCGTCAAAAGATGCACACCGTTTTCATTCAGCACAGAGAATCGTGAATCATTCCCAAAGGTATTGAAAAACTGGGCTGTATGATCGTACTTGTAAATGGTGGAGATTAGCATAGGATTCTGTCCAGGTTTGTGCTTGTACCATGAGAAGTGCCTTGCCATCTGACTCTGGTATATGCACGACATATTAACACTTTCTCCCAGTTTAACAAACACAGGTGGTGCATTTGGGTGTGTTGAAGAAATGCCTAGAATCATTGAAAGTAACAAGTTAATAAGTTTAAATTATGTAATTGTGGCTTATGTCTAGGGCTGCACAATATATCGCTTTATCATTGGTATTGCAATTTGCTCAGCTGCAATAGTCACATCGCAAGATTTGCATTGTTGAGTCTGAATTATAGTTGACCAAGAGCTACAGAAAGCATGCGTCTTGTATTCGTCTTGTAATTCAATTGTGTTGAATTAAATCTTCTCTCGGTTAATCAAAAATTGGAAAAAAAAAAAAAAAACAAACAGGAGGGCTAATAATTCAGGGGGTTTAATAATTTTGACTTCAACTGTATAAACATTTCAAAGCAAAACAGGGTTATTTTACTTACCCGATTGGTAGATACACTACCGATCAAATTTTGTAAAGTAATGTAATGTAATGTGTATTTACATAGAGCATTTATTGTGTATGGCCATACACCCAAAGCACTTCACAATCATGAGGGGGGTCTCTCCACATCACCACCAGTTTGGGGTCAGAAGGATTTTTTTTAAATGTTTAAACATAAGCTTATCTTGCTCACCAAGGCTGCATTTATTTCATCAAAAAAATGCACTATAAAATAACTTCTCAAAAGAAGTTTATAATTTAATTTAATCATTTATTCCAGTCATTTTAATGATGAGTTTTCAGCTTCATTACTCCAGTCTTCAGAGTCACATGATAATAATTCTTCTTCTTCTTCCTATTATTATTATTATTATTATTATTATTATTATTATTATTAATGGTAATAGCAATAAAAGCAATAATGACTGTAGTAATAATTTTACTTGAAACTACATCAAATAAGTAATAGATACATATTTAATAAATATTTAACAATTTATTTTACATTTAATAAATGCTGCCTTGGTGAACAAAATCATTTTATTTAAATAATTTTAAAAATAATAATAATTAAAATAATAAAACCCCAAACATTTGACCAGTAGTGAAATTTTCTTTTGATTTAAGGAAAAACTCCTAATGTTTATGTCTTTTTTTCTGAAGGTGAAAACAAAACAATATTTCTACTTTGAGATATATATTTTTTTTGCATTGTGATTATTCAGTGTCTGTACTTGAAAACTGTAAGACTCCCCACTCCCCAGAAAACTGTCAAATAGAGCTATTTAAATTATCTTGTAAAATATATATTCATATCGCAATATTCATCACATAAAAAAATATATCCCAATATTAGATTTTTCCAATATCATGCAGCCCTAGGTCTGACATAGAAGACATTTCAACTCACCAATAAGACAGAAAAGTCCAAAAATCCAAAAGTTGATCATGTCTGGATGGAATTTTGTGAACAGGTGAATAACGCCGAAATAAACACCTGCAGACATGCAATAAAGGATGTGAGCAGCGAGTGGGATGTTTTGCATTTAGTGTAGGCGAAAAAGTGCTGCATTAGCTTTCTGATGGCCATGTGGTAACTTGACCTTATTAGATTCTAAGAAAAGGGTTTCTTGGCCACATGCAGACTGGTGAAGGGAAATGATCATGTTATCGGCATCATCAAAATGACAGCATGATATTTATAAAGCCGGCAACAAACTTTGTTCATAAGTCAAACAGTGTAAATTCGTCAAGCTTCTCATTGGTGGAGCTGATAATCAATCACACTTCTTCAGTCATGAGTTAAATTAAACTATGATGACCACAGCAAAAATCACATTGACATGCACTGCTCAAAACCTTGTGGCTTCACAGACACACACGTATAAAGACCACAAGTGTGTCTAAGATAAAAAACAGTTTACTATCATATAGTGTCTGTGGGTTAAGTGCAAACATGTCTGATCTGACCGCAGCAGGCTTATTTGTAAATCAAATACAATTTTGTATTTTTTTTGTTGTTGTTGTTGTTTTCTTTTGTGCAGGTCTCATTTTTCATAAAAACAAATTAAATAAAGTCACTCTCAATTACTCCGCCCTGATTGGTCAGATGACCCAGTTTGTTAAGATCATCTCTCTGCTTACAGTAATTTCTCAAAAAAGAAAAAAGCTTATCAATCACGCTTCCTCAATCAAGGATTAAATCGAACTATGGTGACCACAACAAAATCACAATGACATGAACTGCTCAAAACCTTGTGGCTTTAAAGACACACGCGTATATACATCAACAAGAGCACAAGTGTGTCTTATAAAAACTTGTTCACTACAGTGTAGTTTCTGTGAGTTAACTGCAACGTGTCATTGTGATAAAAAAATTATTCAAAAAAATATCCAAACTAAATTTCAGTTCTGAAGTCTTCCTCAATTCTCAGTGATTGTGTACACACTGGATGGTAGCAATATCAGGTAGTCTGAGTCTGCTAATGACCTTAACCTCCATCATTATAATCACTTACGCAGAATGCTTTGCACTTTTAAGTTAGATCACAAAAGTTCCTGTCAAGCTTATGAACACAATGAGCAATCAGAGGCATATCGTTAGCTAAAAATGATGAGTTTTGTTGATGACATACGCTGAGTGACTGAATTCTGTATAGGCTTTTAAATTCAAAAATACAGTATGAGACTTTTAACAACTAGAATTACCATAGCAGTCATTCTAACTGTTCACATAGGACTGTACTGAACAAATCAATTCCTGTAACTACAATTTAAATAACTATTATTCATTTCTGTGTAAGAAACTTAGAGGTGGTATGTCGTATCAGTAAAATAATTGTCTAAAAGTATACATTATTTTTGTGTAGTGCAAAACATTGTTAATGTTTTTTTAGGAATCACATTTTAGCATTTGTGATTTAGATACTGTGTCATCAATCTCAGCTCAGCCGTGTGCAATAAAGGCCCACTCACCAGCACAGTGTTTTTGTGGATTAAAAGAGATAGTCAATGACTTTAAGCACCACTAGAGGGCTACAGTGAGCAACGGTAATACAGTATACTCTATTTCAACTGAAAAATACATAAGCATGATCCATTACAGTTGTTGAAAATAATATGCCAAACCGTTTTCGATTGAATTTGCAAAGAGCTTTATAAGAAGATTTTTATTTACATTTGGGGTTAGGACCAATGCATATTGTTGAATGAGTGCAGCAGCATAGTCACTTGTAACCTGGTCTAGGGGTGATTCACTGTTTACAGTAGTAAAATAAAGGGACTTGTCTAATTTTACTACATAGATAAACTAAAATGCAAATAATAAAACAGATATATAGGCACATACGGCAGATTTTAAATAGACATGATTAAAAAATTATACCATTAAAAAATAATGATAACATTTGCAACAATAGCCTATCACATTTGAAACATCTCTCTACTTCACTTGCCCATTGAAAAAATAATATATGTACAGTATAATCACACAAAGACAAATAACATCACAGTTATACAGGGCTGGACTGGGCCAAAAAAAAAAAAAAGAAAGAAAATCGGCCCTGGCATTTTGGGCCAGAGCGGCCCACTACATTCAATCAAAATGCTATCTATCTGTGCAGGTCCAATATGTTTATCAACTCCTATTGTATGAAAACACAAAAGCCATATATATATATATATATATATATATATATATATATATATATATATATTAAATAATTAAATAAATACAGATGTTAATCTTAATTTAATTTTTGTATACTGTCCATAAAGATTTTTGTTCAGTTCTTAAAAAAAAATACACTATTCATTTATTTATTTTCCTTCGCCTTAGTCCCTTATTTATCAGGGGTTGCCACAGCGGAATGAACTTTCAACAATTCCAGCATCTTTTATGCAGCAGATGCCCTTCCAGCCACAACGCCGTATCGGAAATCACCCACACACACTCATTCACACACACACTTATACACTACAGCCAAATTAGCTTATTCAATACACTATTCACTCAGCCTATATTAAACAATAAACATAACAAAAACTGCCTGCTGATGCATGGGTAAATCTTCAAGGGGAACAGTATACTTTATAACCTCGTTCATCTCACCCTGCTTGCCATTTCAAAAAATAAAAATAATATAAGGAAATTTGTTTTATTTTGATATTATGATTAACAGACACTAAACAGCCTCGTGTAGCTACTTATTTATATGACCATCATCTTCACTGTATGCATATTTATAACAAAACAGGGCCTATAACATAACTGCCTCCTTTCATTTTCATTGAAAAGAACGAACTTTACCCCGTCTCTTTTGCAGAATATCAGTTTTAATAATCAATAAAGGCCATTATAAAAGTATAACGTACAATAAATTTATACGATTAAGGCAAGCAATCAGTCAATGTGCTGAATCAATGAACGTGGTTACATAAATTAATATATTAACTTGAACAAGTTGTTAGATAGAGACAACAAGATGAATTCAATATCACGTTTAATAACTATTGTGAGATCCAGCAGATCTTTGATGAACTGTCCGACATGCACTATACTCTCACCTGGGGTTTATGCTCAAAGCACCAGCTGAACTACTGGCTGCAGCTCTTGGCAGAGTGTGTGTGGTCACGTGATTTGCGTTTTTAGCCGTGTAATAGAATGAACGGAGAACTTCTCAGAACCGCTAAATGAAACGCCAGTGTGTTTCCCGCAATTTCTCTGCGCCTCCCTTCCTTTTTTTCTCTCTGACTCTCTCTGACTATTTTGACAAATACACACCGATGTTGCATGCTCACACAGAGCCCAAAATACTAGGAGTTTGTGATTGGTCCAGCCCAATGTCAATAAAGAAAAGAACCAATGGGATGCAGAATGTCACATGGGCCGGCCCGGTCTATCTGTCCGGAAAAAAATCATCTTACTTTCAGAGATTCACAGATCACAGCATCATCAATTAATAAGGCAGAAAAAACGACTGGCTGCTAAGCCTTTTACTGGTAGATCAGATCTAAGACAATGATCAGCCCGGCCCAAAAAGTATGTCGGCCCAGCGGGAAACTGCCCGGTCTGCCAGATGGCCAGTTTTGCCCCTGCAATTATACATGCAGAGTTATTTTTTCACAAGAACACATGCATCTATAAAGAAGATTTTGAGAAACTGAAATAGACTGTGCCATTGACCAAGTAAAAGCTGGTCTAAAGTCCAGCACAGAATGCATTAGTTATGCACAAGTTCAAACACTTAATACACACAGGATGTACAGCAATACACAAATATATTTACAAATGAAAAAAAAAAAAGGATTAAAATGTTACAAAAATTTTTTTAATTACTACATAGATATGAAAAACCCTACTTCCATGCCTTCTTTATGTGAGGGAGGCTTTTTTCATTTTACTTATGACATTTTTTTTTTTATCATAATGTTATTATTATTAGCAGTATTATTTATTATCTGCATATTTATATTTGTTTTAATAAAAGCACGTTTAGATTTGTCCACCTGTCGGGTTTTGGAGACGTATGCATCACCATATGGGGCATAAGAATAAGACGTGTGTTTGGATATAACTTTTGGAAATTAGAACTGAATTAAGAAATATTTTAAAACAAATCTTTGCGCTTGAACTAAATTAAATATGTAACTGACTCTTAAATAGTAAGTGAGATAAGACTCTGATTGGTTTAATGCATGTAATGCTCAAAACACACCCATAACTCATTAAGAGAACAAACACAACCCTGTTAGACCAGCATGATGACACAAACTGTATTTTTCCATCCCTAAAAAAAAAACAAAAGCAGATTCAGAAATGCTTTCACGCCATGTGCTTTAGACTTTGTGCCTAGATCATTAAAATAGAATCCTTACAGTTTTACATTCTAAATAATTTTATTATCAAGGTGACCAGTGTTTTCTGTCTTTACAATTTTCTTTTGCAATACTGCACCTATCAAAGTTAATGATAATAAAAAGAAAGATGTTTTTGCAATTTATTTTGATGAATATCAATTTAACCTTACTCCTGTTCACAAAGACCATAAGTTAAGAAGTGAATTCAATTAAACTATTTCTCAGTTTACATTAAATTGCTTTTTTTTTTTTTGCTAAAGAGTTTGAGCAATTTAACTTTTGAAAATCATATATCCCATGTCACAAAAACTGCTTTCTTTCATCTGAGAAATATTGCTAAGTTACGAAGTATGCTATCCATCTCAGATGCAGAAAAGCTAGTCCATGCTTTTATGACTTCTAGGCTAGATTACTGTAATAAACTGTTTGCTGGTTGCCCAGCATCCTCTATTAACAAACTTCAGCTAGTACAAAATGCAGCTGCCAGAGCTCTTACCAGGTCTAGAAAATATGATCATATCATCCCAATTTTAACCTCATTACACTGGCTGCCTGTTAAGTTTTAAATGATTACTTCTTACCTATAACGTTTCAAATAATCTAGCTCCTGTTTATCTAACCAAACTTCTGTCTCACTACAATTCAACCCACTTTTTAGGATCTCAAAACTCAGGGCTTGTGGTAGTACCTAGAATGGCAAAGTTGAGTAAAGGAGATTGAACCTTCCCATTTATTGCTCCTAAACTCTGGAATAGCCTTCCTGATAATGTCTGAGGCTCAGACGCACTCTCACAGTTCAAAACTAGATTAAAGACCTATCTTTTAGTAAAGCATTCACTCAATGTATCACATAGCAGTATGCTGCATGAATGAGCTCTATGTATCTCGTTTATATATACTATGATCCGCAGCTACGCTAATTATTCTCTTTATTCTCTATTTCCACCTGGGGTAACTCATCCTGAGGCTCCAGAGATTATGCAGTGCCATTGATGCGATCTAAGACCTGTAAATAGATGAGCAGCTGCTGTCGTGGTCGTGGAGGAGTAGAGAGCATGTGTCTGATTCCTGTGAGACTCCAGGGACAGCTGGGTCTTCGCTGACACCCAGCACTCTCCAGCCCCCGGCACCTAGACTGCAGCTCAGCTCAAGACTTTCGGCCATAGGAGAAATGGTCGTGCCCAACTTGGCTGCTTTCTCTCAAGGTTTTTATCCTTCACTTTCACCAATTGGTGAAGTTTTTTTCTTTGCGGCTGCTGCCACTGGCTTGCTTGGTTCAGGACTTGTAGAACTGCGCATCGATGGATTACTCTCCAGTGTTTGGACTCTCAGCAGTGAATATTAAAACACACTGAACTGAGCTATACTGAACTGAACTTAAACTCTGAAAACTGAACTGACACTTTCAATTCACTATAATCTTCTTTTTGAAGCTGCTTTGACACAATCCACATTGTAAAAGCGCTATACAAATAAAGATGAATTGAATTGAAAAGTTAGGGTTGGGGGATTTATCGAAAAGTAATCGAAACCGACATTCAGAACCTATAATCAATCAAAATTTTCCCGGTCAATTTTTTTCAATTACTTTTCCTACAGCATATGGAGTCATGTGACCCCGCTCTGTTAAGGTTGATTTACGCTTCTGCATCGAACGCACTAGAATGATCTGGCACAGCCTTTGCGCGGTTGTATACCCACACAAACCTCTTAAAAATTTAACTATACATCGCACATTTGCACTACATATATGATGATTGGAAACTGCATTGAGATAACATATTTTCTATAATAATAAAATTATTATTTACATAAAAATAAGTGTTTACAGAAGATGCAAGAAATGCACTATTTGAAATATTATTTACAGGATGTACAAGAGTTATTTTATCTTGAAAAGATGCTGCTTATTTTCTACTTTTCATATGAAAAAATTGAAAATAATTCATTTGGTTTTCAAAAGTACAAGCTATATATTTTCGTTTTTTATTTTTAAAAAAAAAGGGCTGTTCATTTTAGGCAATGTGTGTAATAATTTCAGTTGTTTAACTTTGATGTTCAATAAATAACCACAGATATAATTTCTCACTTTTTATATGTGAGCATATATTTACAATACAAAACTTATCAGTGAACTATGATGGCAATAAAGTAAAAATAAATAAATAAAATAATTATTCACTAACCATAAGAGTTAAAAATGTTCAATAAATAGAAATTTAGATTTTAGGCCAAATTGCCCGCCCCTACAAGCAGTGCACAGGCCTGTTGATTGGCAGGTTTGCCATAGGATGCATTATTGTAAGTCACACCCCCTGATATAAATAAAGCAGACTGGTTTCCTCATCTTAATCTCCTTGTTGGATTTACAGTACAGCAATGGTGTGTGTAGTAATCTCAGCGCTGTTGATGGGTAAGTGTAACAGCACTAAAAATAGCTTTATCACAATATAGCAATGATTAGTTCAAGATTAATTAGTAAACAGATGTTTTTTTTTGTGCTTTTTGAGACAGTTTTTCTTAAAATCTATATGACATCAGAGTTTTAAGTATAAATCTAATAAACACATTTTATTTCTCTGTGGGTTTTTTAGGTTTACTTTCGTCAAATCCTCTCAGACAGGCAATATATCAGCTCAACCAGTAGAAAATGTTACTATTTGGTGTAAACAATGCAGGTGTTGGACAGTACATACACTGGTTCAAGCAGACACACGGTGCTGTTCCTCTTGGCATTGTCTACATGATGTTACCCTTTAATGTCAAATTAAATGCAATATATTTAAATAATTTTCTACCAGACCGTTTTGTGATGTCTCTGAATCGCAACAACACATCCTTAAGTATTTTGAACATGAATATTAATGATTCTGGTCATTACTTCTGTGGTTGGGGCTCTTGGAAAATGATGTTTGGTGATGGAATACACCTAAACATTGAAGGTAATATTTCATTATTACAAATATTATAAAGGAACGGCTGGCATAGATTATGTACTGAAGTTACATTTAAGTGATGTGGTGGATAGAAGAAATTTTGTCAAATGAATTTGTATTGATTGCACATGCAATACCACTGAAAAATGAATTATACATACCGGTTATTATAATATTCTTTTATACTCAGGGTTAATATAAAAAAAAATGTTTTTATCTAGATGTAAAATCTGAGATATTTTTTTTTACAGATCTCAAGAGTGACATTTTAAAAGACAACTGTCCTGGAAACATCTACTATAACCTGACTTTTATTTTTGGTGGTTTTATTGTTGTCCTCATCATCATTTCCCTATCTCTTGGCATTAAGATCACAAGCACATTTTAAAAAGGTAACAGCACAATTTAAGAAACTGTATCCAGTAAGTGTGTTTAACGCTAACTATAATGGAAAACATCTTCAGAAGGTAAATGTTGCTTCTCCGTGTGGTCACAGATGCAGATCGGCGTGTAACACATCATGGGGTAAACTAATAATAATCTTTTTTTTTTAATGATTTTGTATGATATACATATCTACTTGTATTTTCCGTTTATAGCAAATAATTGATTATAACTGAATGATTAGAATAATTACAACAGAGCAATAAAAAATAAAATAAATAAATAAAAATAAACAGTGCTATATCAGTTTTCCGTAGAGTCAAAAACTATTCAGGTACAGAAATTGAATAATGAAATGTAAAATAACTCTGTGTAGTCTTCATTGTAATAATCCTTCATTAAATTAACTGAATACTTTAAACTTTAAACACATGCAAATGATAACGTTTTATTGTGTTATTGGTTATACTTTGCTTTAACTCCACAAATCTCAGGTATTCTCAACTGTTGTGCTGATCAACTATAATCCCAACTCAAGATTGATCCCAAATCCTGATGCGACTATTGCAGACACACATTGCGACATCGATGCTGAAATGATACATTGTGCAGCCCAAATTAATAGCAACCTGTACAGTATGGTCATCTATTTGTAAATATCTGATTCTAATACGATTTGCGTATTATGTTCACAGTACATTCATCTGTAAATATTTCCCATAGTTTTCCATAATTGCACTTTTAACTTTTTAACTTTTAACTTAACCTCCAACTATTGCATTCATGGTTAGACCTAAATTGCATTTTGTTGCATTGTATTTGTACACGAGTAATGACAATAAACCTGAATCTAATCTGATCTTTTCTAATCTAATATGTTGAAACTAAAAAAATAAAAGAAAATCCATAAAATTATATTCACTCCAAAATCTTGAGGTTTTTAACAAAATATCAGTTTTATCAATATTCTATCATTTTTCAAGTGATAGCGATGGTCTTTTGCATTTGACTTTTAACAGGAACACCTAACTGTAATGCGTCTGTCATTAAATCCGTTTCAGGAGGCTCATTCATCAGTGTATGCGGCTCTAAGATTCTCAAAACAGAAAACCAGAAGAGCAGCCAGACAAGATACAGATGTTGTGTTTTCTGCTACTAGATGACACACAGTCAAATAATGTCATGTTTAGATATATATGAATTAATGAATGTAAAATATATTTGAGCTCTAATAAGTTTAGTATTTTTAGTTCAATAAAAGTTGTGAAATCAAATGTACATTAACTTTAATATAGATCTGCTTTTATGTTCTGTCATAAAGATGTAACTGTGCACTTACTCAAGAAGCAGGGGTTGTGAATGATGGACTTTTCTGTACACCGTAGACCCCGAGAAGAAGCTCTTCAGAGTAAAATAAGACATTCAGAGGGAAGCTTCGGTAGATCAGATTACAAAGCTGTAAATAAGCATACAAAAATAGGTTATTTTAGGCTTGCTGTTTTTGATCTGTTTTAATCATTTTACATTTTTAAAATTTTTATTTTCTTGTTTGTTTTATTCTTGTTTATGTAACGCACTTTAAATTACCACAGTATAAAATAGCTATATAAATAAACTTGCATGAACTTCACAACAGTTAAGTACTTTCTAGAAGCAGTAGTATTGTGATAATCATAGTACTTAAAATAAAAGAGTGAAAAAACAAATAAACAGATGAATTGTTAATAAATGGTGATGAGCAACATTTGAAATCTAAATAAATGAGGTGGGCAGATAATAATTTTGAAAAATACGCAAAAAAGTTCTGTTAAATGTCTGAGTGCCAGTGTGTGAATCTGTCAACACATACAGTAAGTTTCTGTTTTCCACCCACCAAACTGATCCTACTCAACTCTTACATCTAAACCACACAAACACCATCACACCACACACTTGACACACATTTCCATAACCACATACAAAATATCCCTTTGCTTTTAAGTCACTGGTGGTAGTACTTAAAAAAGTAGCTAAAACTCTGAAAGTAAAACAGTAATTAATTATACATTTATTTATGCATCTTTTATATTAAACTGTTGCTGTGAAACAAAATATCTCAAAATCATTTCTATGTGTAGTAGGTTGTTGTTATAGAACTTTAAAATACTGCAAAGAATGCATGCAATATTACAGGCAGATTATCTGATAACAAATTAAATGTCATTTAGGAAAATAATTTGGTGTCACATGAAAACAAAAAAATTGCTGACAGTACATTGTGTATTTATGACCTGCTATTTTGTGCAAGACTTTATGTTGATGGCACTTAAATATAAAAACAAGTGAAATTACCTGCAAATATGGTGCTATATCTAATATATAACATGGGCATCAAATGTATTTATCTGCTTGATTCTTTGCAGTATAATTTAAATTAGAGGCTGTGTTTTTTTTCTTCTTTTTATTGAAACTGATTTCTGTGGGTTTTTAGTGCAAACATTTAGCAGTGCATGGTGTATCTCAATGCACTAATAAGGCATGCAACAGAATGCAAACCACATGCTACAACCACAACAGACATATGCCAAAAAACAATGTACAGTGTTCAGGTTGCGGTCAGCCTTTGTTTCTGAAAGTAACAGTATAAATAAGCGGCGTTAAGGAGTTTCTAATGTGAATTGTAAAACATTCTATTTTAGGATTAGTTTTGCACTCATCTTTGTCTAATATTTACATTATAAACTCCTGAATGGCACAAACACTGAAATTGAACAAAATGTGTAGTTTTTACACCAGCTTGTATTGTGTAGTTACTGCAATTTTGACACCTTTTTTGGCCATTTGTGTTTCTCTAAAATGCTTACAAAAAGGATACAGTGTTAAAAGACAGATGTCACAAAGCCTACTTAGGGTTTAACAAAATTTTCACCAAATATATGTAGTGACTGCATGTTGCCTTTGTAGGGCAGTGTAGTTCTATGATGCTCTGAATGCACTGCACTTTAAACCTTGAAGCAGATGATCTACAGCAGCAGAGCTATCAACTGAGAAAAGCAAATTAATGATACAATTCACACAAGTTTGCTACAATTGGACTATGGTTTGAAAAAAGTTTTTCTTGAATCTCAATTTCTGATTAAACATTGCTGATGGGGTAGAAATGTGGTTTAAACAACATCAAGCCTTTTATCAGCAGTTCAGTCTGCTGGTGGTGTATTGGTGTGGGGGAAATTTTCTTAGCACACTGAGCATCATTTAATCACCACAGCCTACACCAGTTGCTGTTGCTGATCATGCTCATCCCTTTATGACCACAATGAACTCATAATGTGAAGACATGAACACAACAGTGAGTTTGCTATATTTATTATAGATGGCCACAACAGTCACTAGATTAGTGATATTTAATAAGAGTCATTATTCTCACACATAAATGTGATTAAAATGAGTAATTGGACATTCCTCACTCACCTGCACTACTTTAAGCAACTACACTGACAACATAGCATATGCACCCAATTTCACACCTCTTGCGAAATGTAAAAATGTATAATTGTAGAAGACTCTTTGTGACCCTGTCATAAGTGTATATTTTGGGAACTTTAAATAAAAAATACATTATATAAAAGGTAAATAGACTTCCGTTGATGTATGATTTGTTAATAGTAGGATGTAGGATAATATTTGGCTAAGATACCACTATTAAAATTTGGTGATCTCAGAGTAAAAACAAAATAAGATGATTAGGAAGTTGTGAAATGCACATTTCTAATGAGAAACTGAGTTTTGATATACTTACAGTATAAATAAAATGCTTTATGGAACATCTATCTTCTTCGTCTTATAGTTTTCTGACTGCTGCTTGGAGGATGGGTCTGCAAAGTTGGTGCTACACTAAGTTGTTATCTTATGGAATCATTTGTGATTTGGTGGAGAAGTCAAGCATCCGGCAAAGCATTCTCTTTCCATTGATGGAGCTGAGCAAAGGTTTTTGTTACATACAATCAAACCGTCAGGATGAATGTTTTGAACAACGGAGGCAGATCCATAATTCTTGCAGATTACAGGCAAGGAAATGGAAGGTATCAAAATGCCAAACATATACAGTACTGTAGCTGTGCAAGGTTTTTTTTTTCTTTTTTCTAGTATCTGCACATAGGGGGCACCAGTTCATTAGCTGGTTAGTTCTGCAGGTTAAACAATTGATCAGGGATCAAATACATTCAAAATGTGTGCAAAATTTGTGACACAAATATATGGTCTTCCTATGACTGAACAAGCAATATAAGCTAATTTTGACTATTAAAATTAAAACCTTTGTATCAGTAGCAATATTTGCACAGCTAGTGTTTTTCAGCCAATAATAAATTTCCAGTGAAAGCTTAATTAGACTATTTTTAATTTCATAAGGTTCCTTTTACAGCATCGATGTTGTGATGTCATTAAAAGACATTCAGTTAAATAGACTTAAGCATTCATTTAGTGGCTCAAGCCTAAAATGAGATGAAAGACTGTGTAACTGCTAGCGCCGTCAGTACCAGCAGGCTAACGCAGAAAATCCATTGAAAATACTGGAGTAAAATAAAGTTTCATATTTTAAAGACATGGCGGGGGAAAATGAAATTTAATGTAGTGCTTTTTGTTCGGTCTAAGATCCAATTAATATCGTATATCTATCAGGCAGTGAAGATCTCTGATTGTTGAAGAAATCAGACCTTAAACGTGGTAATTTTATAATGGAAAGACAGTTTACCGGAAGTGATGAGGCTGGTTGGCTGAAATTAAGTCCGTGACGTGTGCATATACCCCAATGGTGTGGATCTATATGATGAATTTATTGGAGCTTCCTTATTTGTAAATCTTTTTGGATAAAAGCTAAATGACTAAATGTACTAGTATGATAACATTTAGAGTATATATTATTTGTGAATATGATGTAATTAAAACAATGACTGGTTGAAGTGGGTTTGATAAAAAAAAGGAAGCCTTTACATTCTGAGCTTAAAGCTATCTAATAAAAAGGAAATAATGTCAAAAGAACTGAACATTTTCATTTAAAATAATTAAATAATATGACTTGCTTATTAAGGAACACCAGACTCACAGAAGCTTCAATCGCCAAAGAACAAAAGATAAGCCACATGAGAAGGCCTTTATGTAAAAAAGAAAAAAAAGAGGGTCAATTAAACATCCTCTAAATCAAAGAGTAAAAATCGTCTCCCAAAACAAAAACATTCAAGTAAAATCTTACAAAACCAGGCCAAATGCACAGAGTAAAATGCCTGCATTTCTCCTCATATTATTTCTACTTATCAGGACAGGTGTGTTTGCTCTGAAAGACAGATTTATTCTGTAATGTTTATTCATATATTTAGGAATATGTTATTCTGAGTTTACTTGTACTTTTCTCTTCTCAGGATTTATTACATCTGCTACTGTAATCAGGGCTCACAAAATCCGGTAACCCAACATCCCGGGGCTTTGCTTTTTCATACCATGCATACATAAGACTGTATCAATTGATTTTTTTATCATCATATTTACATTTGAGATTCTATTTGGATTGTATAATCATGTTTTCAATGTCTGTCATCATATTTTATAAAAAGTCTTTAACCTAAAAAAATTATTTTTTTTGTAACAGATCCACTTTGTTCCGTAAGCAAAAAAGGAAAGTTGTTGTTGTTGTTGTTTTTACAGAAGTTTTGTTTTGAAAGACATGTCTGAAGTAAAGTTATGGTTTTGCTTTCATAAAGTTAAGATTTTGTTAGCAGAAAGTTGCTGGGCAAATGAGGTATGCATATTCAAGGTCAACTGAAAAAGATGTAGAATGCGATCTAGGATGAACATCTACAGTATGTTGATCCTGGAACATTATTCGTGTTCAAATCCATACCTAATCCCAACCCCAATAGTAACAGGCACATCACCGTCTGTTTGTTTGAACCAGTACAGGTTTCCAGGAATGTAGATATTGTGGGAACACCACATAGTGAAGAGTTGTCCTGGATGAGCCTGCCGACTTATTGCAAATATAATTTGAAAACCTGAAAGCCAATAGGCAAGAAAAGTAAAACCGAAGCACACCACAAAACAACATCATTATATTTATTGTCTCCCCTTTTTAATAAATATTATCTTAAATTGCACTATTAAAAATAATAATTCTTACCTGTCTCAAGGA